TGCTTCCCCTGAACTAAACACTGAACAGATTAATTAATCAATGGTGGCAAAGCCCTTTGAAACAGAAAAGTGCTCTAGAAGCTACAGATTGTTATTGTTGAACACTTCCCTGTTAGCACTGGACTTACAATCCATTTCCCTAGCAAGGGGATAGGAAACATGAGATTGCAGTTACCACCTACCACAGTTATCAAAGAATATGCAAGAACTCTCAGTCCTGATTGCTCCCTTTACGTAGAGAGACTAATCTTGGAGTCAAACAGACAACTATCTTATCTGCTGAAGTTCAGACATCTGTTTCCTTACGTACTTCTTGTACCTCTTGTTGCTATTGTTGCTTTACTGTTTTTCTCCTCTCTGTAACAGATACAAAAAATAGTTTTTGAACAGTTTTGTTGTTGGTACTGGACTGTGTCATTAGGCAATACAATAATTTTTTTGTGAAGAAAACATAAAGGTTATCAGAGATACGGCGCTCTTCATCAGGAACTTTGTGAAAAACTGTTCATTCTCCCTGTCTTTGGTCTCCTGAACTATAATTGTTTGCAGCTTTACCTCTGCACACACTGTTAATGCACTGCCTAACTAATTAAAAAAATAGGCTTATTCTCTAAATGACTTTCACATAGGATCTTTGATGATTCTGAGATGTTTGCTATACTGGACAAAAATTTCTGCCTAGTTTTTAAACCTTGTTTTAAGCACTACAGACTGCCAAGTATATGCTGCTTAGAATAAAACAGGAGACAACACTGTTACCATAGATTCGTTTGGGTTGGAAGGGACCTTACAGACCATTTAGTTTCAGCCTCCCTGCCATGGCAGGGACACCTCCCAGCCTGCTCAAAGCCTTGTCCAGCCTTGCCTTGAACACTTCCAGGGATGGGGCAGCCACAGCTTCTCTGGGCAACCTGTGCCAAAGCCTGAGTACCCTCACAGGGAGGGATTTCTTCCTAATATCAATGTAACCCAGCCCTCTGTCAGTTTGAAGCCATTTGCCCTTGTCCCATCACTCCAGACCCTTGTCAAAAATCCCTCTCCAGCTCTCCTGGAGCCCGTTTAGGCACTGGAAGGGGCTCTCAGGTCTCCTAGATTCCTCTCTTCTCCAGGCTGAACGCTCCCAGCTCTCCCAGCCTGGCTCCAGAGCAGAGGGGCTCCAGCCCTTGGAGCATCTTTGTGGCCTCCTCTGGACTCTCTCCAACAGATCCACACCCTCACTGTGTTGGGAGCCTCAGAGCTGAACACAGCACTGCAGGTGGGGTCCCACAAGAGCAGAGTAGAGGGGCAGAATCACCTCCCTTGCCCTGCTGGTCACCCTGTGGGTGCAGCCTGGGATACTGCTGCTTTCTGGCTTGCAGCACACACTGCCAGATGTTATGATGGATAACGACTGGATGTCTGTGTTCAAAGGTGCTATTTACTATTCATTTGTTATAGATAAATTCACACAATATTACTACTACTAAAGTGCCCTTCTTCAACTATGACTATCTCAGATCTCACAGATAAAGAACTGTCAAGGCAACTTCAGTAAATTGCCCAAGGTCGCATTCCAATATAGTAACAAGTAAAAATACAGAAGAACACCCCTGAATTGATCTTGCCCTATTCACATCCATAACATGCACAATACTGATGATGTATGCATGCAGAATCTGACATATTTTTAATCAATGCAAAAAAGTAATAGAAAAGGTAATGAACCATGGGAAAGAATACATATTTTTAAAGAAGGTAAACAACTGCTTTTGCAGTGCTCATTTTGCTTGTGAAATAAACCACTTAATAGAGAACTATTACTTTGAGACTTAAGGTATAGTTTTTTATATTTAACAGCAGTGTTTATTACAATGGACTGAGACAGCACTTACCTGCATATGTTTTTGGATTTTGCCAAGATTTCTTGTACAATTGAACAAGCTATTTATATTTTCACTGTTTCAGAGGTCAGTTGTTTGCCTGCAGATTTATTTCCAACCATCCTTTGTCTTTCATATATGATGACATGGTCTTCACTCAAGTGAAGAGCATATATTGTTACCTAGGTCAATTGATTTAAGATGTTAGAAGGAATTTCTATGTATTAATAAAATGTATTAACAAAATCAACAATAACAACATTCTTAAAGCAGTAAGACAAAACCTTGCACTAATGTTAGAAACTGTCTCACAAAATTATTATGATGAGTCTTGATTAGAATATAGATGGGAACAACTTAAGTTTGATAACAGCTTTGTAAGATTAATGGAAGATTCACTAGCTAATTTCTCATTCTGGTAATTATGACTATATAGAAATCATTCCTTAAAAATGTCTTGTAATGACAAGTCACTCCTTCAGATTTAGAGGCATTTCACACACATACTGAGGACAAAATTGTATCCATTTGAAGTCTCATAAGAAAGATCCCAATCATTTAGAGTATTTTCGAGACCTTTTTTTTGAATAATAACTTAAAGCTCAGTTGTCTTGAGCATCTTTAATGCAAAGATAAAACTTTCCTAGGGGGCAAGGAATGGATCCCATCTTTCAAAGTGTCTGTTTGGAGTAACACACTGAACACATTTACAAGCCAATTTGTAACAGCATTGGTATGGAATACAGGTGGTTGGCTTTAGTTCCAGAAATCATATTTGTTAATAGTAAAAGGACCTATTATTAATATAATTACAAGACTATCCAGCTTATTTTGACTGACATTAACCCCACCTTTAAAATGACATAATATTATATCTCCAATACTGCAAGTCCTGCAAATTGTATCTGGTCCATACTCTGTTTTTAAATCTGTAATTTAATGACATTGTTCTGTTGGGAAATAAGGACCCAACAGTTAAAATAAAATGAAAAAAATTTAGAACTCGTGTGAACCCATGAAAAAAATGTGCATTCTTTCTTTTCACAGCATGAATCTCAAGAATATTTTAAGTTGGTGAAAGCTGAGGAGAATTTGCATAATTTTCTTGAGACATCTTCATAAAAATATTACCTTAAGACCTGCTGGAATAAAGCTAGCTTCTTATTACCTGGATTTTCTGTGCAGAAGCAACAGAAAACGTAGTGACCTGATCAAAAAGTATGATCAGGGAGGTCCGTAACAAGGAGATTATTAATACAAAAATAGACGTAAAACAAGAACTACAACTTTGCTTTCGTGAAAATTTACACCTGCACTGCAAATGCCTGGAGTGGAGACAGGGACCCAAAATAAGGGACCAGGTGCGCAAGGTGGTCCTCACGTTTGTGGAGAAACCTTCCAGTTGGGAACGCAAAAGGCTAAAACTCAAAATAACAGTGAAAGAGAAGGCAAAAGAGTGAAAGAGAAGGCAAAAGAGTGAAAGAGAAGGCAAAAGAGTGAAAGAGAAGGCAAAAGAGTGAAAGAGAAGGTGAAGAGAGTGAAAAGAAGGCAAAGAGAGTGAAGAGAAGGCGAAAAGAGCGAAGAGAGAGAGAGAGAGCGAAGAAGGCAGAAGTGAAGAGAGGCAAAAGTGAAGAGAGGCAAAAGAGTAAGAGTGAAAGAGAGGAAGAGTAGAAGAGAGGCAAAAAGTGAAAGAGAAGGCAAAAGAGTGAAAAGAGAAGGCAAAAGAGTGAAAGAGAAGGCAAAAGAGTGAAAGAGAAGGCAAAAGAGTGAAAGAGAAGGCAAAAGAGTGAAAGAGAAGGCAAAAGAGTGAAAGAGAAGGCAAAAGAGTGAAAGAGAAGGCAAAAGAGTGAAAGAGAAGGCAAAAGAGTGAAAGAGAAGGCAAAAGAGTGAAAGAGAAGGCAAAACAGTGAAAGAGAAGGCAAAACAGTGAAAGAGAAGGCAAAACAGTGAAAGAGAAGGCAAAACAGTGAAAGAGAAGGCAAAACAGTGAAAGAGAAGGCAAAAGAGTGAAAGAGAAGGCAAAAGAGTGAAAGAGAAGGCAAAACAGTGAAAGAGAAGGCAAAACAGTGAAAGGGAACTGTGCCTCGTTTGGGACCGCTCGCTCACAGGCGATGTCCAAGCCTAAGCACGCACAGGTTTTAGCCCTGCGTTCTGGCACTTGAGCAGGACGAGGCACATTCCTCCGTGCAGCTCCACCGCCGGCCTCCTGACACCCCTCGCGGGGAACACCGGTGAAGAGGTGGGAAGCGCGTTAAGTTTTACCCGGCCGGGGCTTTATTCCCCCCAGCCCGAGGGGGATCAGACCCTCACGCAGCTGCTGCTCCGCCACGGGCGCCCCCGCCCCGCTCGCTGCCCCCGCGGCGCTGCTGCGGCTCCCCCGGCCCGAGGGGCGGCGATGCCTGAGGGGGGAGGCGGGGAAGGCGCGCAGGGCAAAGAGCCCCTCGGAGTGGCCGCGGGCTCCCCGGGGGTGCCCCCCTGCTCGGCGGCGCTTGGGCGGGAGCCGCCGGCGAGGGGCTGGAGGAGGCGCCTCGCAACAGATGGTCGAAGCCGGCTGCTGGCGCGGCCCGCATTGGCCAGCGGCGCGGCCCGGGCGGAGAAAGGGCGGGCGGCGGCGGCGGCCCCGCGGCGGGAGCGCAGCGCCCACACACCCGCCTCGCTCGCCTCCCGTGCGGCGCCGAGACCACCCCCGCCCGGGCCGGCGGTCGCCTCTCACGGCCCCGGGCCACCTGTGAGTGTCCGCCCGGCGGGGCTCGGAGCCGGCCGGGGCCGCAGGGAGGGCTCCGGCGGCCGGGGCGGGAGGCCCGGAGGGCGCGGCTCTCTCCTCCATCTCCGCTCCGACCCGCGCAGGAGGGGAGCGGGGAAGGGTGGGGAGATTATCCCCCTGGGCGGGAGCCTGGACCCATCACGGGGAGATTTTTATCACCTGTAGGTGAGGACCGCCCCCCCGCGCGCCAATTCCCACCTTCCCTTCCCTTTATTCCAGCCTCGTCGGTGCGGAGCCACCTGTGAATAATTAGCCGGTGTTGGTTCTCGGCGCGCCGTGGTCGGGGGGGCTGCCAGGTGAGGAGCGGAGATGCGGGGGAAGTGACTCGCCCAAGGTCATGCAGGGAGGCATTGGCTGAGCTGGGAAATAACATGTGCCGCGCTCAAAACTTCTGGTTCCCAGTCGTGTGCTGGGTTGTTCAGCAGCCCTGTAGGGCTGCAGGGCTCCGGGCATAAATCTGGCAGAGCTGTAGGTAGGTCTCTAATTAGCTACTTTTTTTCCCTTGTTTAATCGTTTTGCTGCTAGGAGTTCTGTATGGATGTTAAACCTTGCAGAGGTGCAGTGTCTGTGCCATCTGCCTTGTTTTCTCCAAGCTGCACGTGTGGATGAATGCATAAGTGATCGTGGTTTTCTGTGACTAATGTTAAATTCAGTAGGAAAGTGAGGGTAAAAATATGATGGCTTTCTCTAAACTTTTACCATGGCAATAAATATTGTATTTCCTATTAACAGTGAATGTCCTCTTATGCCATCAGACAGTAGTTGTGAAAAGCCCCTTAGCTGGTTAGATGGCTGCTGCACTCCAAAATTAACGTGCAGTGCAACAGCTTTTTTCCTCAGTGTAGGTGACATGTAAAGCATGGTGGGCCATGCTTTAAAAACAAGCACTAGAGTATAATGTGGTTAGGAGTTCTCTAAAGGATGCAACTGGAGTTACAGTTTTGGTGCTAGCTATATGCATAGCAGTTCTCTCTCCTACCCCTTCTCTTGTCCAAATAGAATTTTAAGACATTTACGTGAATGTATTCTTCTGTAGATAACGTGCAGTGTTTCTTTTGAATTTCTCCTTATGTGAAAGTAAAACTGACACATTCAAGGATATCGTTTAGATGATATGTATTACAAGAGTCCTCCAAGTCAATCCTCTTCATAGAGTTTGATTATTCCTAGCATTTCATAACAGATCCTGCAGCAGTGAAATCTAAAAGTTTAAGTGTGCTGTTCAAAGGCTAAGCTGTTCCTGCTCCCATCTTTCTCAGTTTTACCTCAGCTGCTCTGCTTGGTTTTTGGAGGGTGGGGAGACGGAATCAGGAGAGAGGATTAGGGAAACACTCAAAATATTAGTGTAAATAGGACAGCTTTATTTTTAATCTGTATTAGGGAGTTAGGTGAACTCTGGACACTCATCAGCACCAGCAATCATGGCATTCAAGGCAAGGTTTCTGGTAACAGGGGGCTTTCGTACTATAGATGTTTTGTCATTTGAATGTGGGGGTTTGTATGGGTTTGTTTTAGTCCCATTCAGAAAATACAGTGTTATTCTTGAATCATTTAATGGGTTTTTTTCCCTGGACTTTGATATTTGAAAAAAAGACACTCTTAGGTATGTTTTCACTATATAATACTGGGTGGCTTGTTTGTTCCTTTGTATTTGGTTTTTTTTTTCTGTGTTGGATTCCTTACCAGGAATCTTCTCCCAGGTAATTTCTAGCTGAAGGTGTTTGCCCTTGCTACATAAACTCATTTTGATTAGTTTGCCCTTTCACTACAAGTTTCTCCATCATTTCTTCTAAAAGGATAGGGAAATGTCTGTAGCTTTTTTTTTTTTTTTTACTTAAGTAGCTAATATTACTTCATTAAACAAAATGTTAAGTTGGAATAGATGATACTTTGCTATGCTGTGTTTTGTTTTTAAGCAAGTGTGTATTTCACTGTTGTGACTTCTTTCAAGCATTTCTGTTGTGAGGATCTCAGGTGGGAAGAGTTGTAGATGCTCATGCACAAAATAGTAATAAAAGGAGATGTGGTGATATCAAATTTGCAAATCGAACTGATTCATGTACATGGATGAGTAAGACCCTTCTCTGTTGTGACTGAGGGATAAGGTGATGGAATAAAGCAAATATTTTTGCTGTGTAATGGCAGATGTGTATTTTTGAATGGAGTTTATTTTGTTTGTTTGTTTTTTCTTGGTTTGTTTTGCTGTTCCCTCTTCCATTCATGTTAGTTTCCTATGCACTTGGATATCTGTTTCACTTTTGGAAATTGCCTGAATTTCTGTGTGTAGTTTGTTGCTGGTTAACTGCCTCCCCACTGTCTGTCCCCACCACCCTTCCTCACCCCTCACACAGATGGTGCCTGGGGAGAAATTCTGAAATGATGCTGCAAGTTCAATAAGGGAGGATTTCAGGTAATTAGTTATTGACCTCTGTAGGAAGAAAAAGGATGTGTAATATTTCTGAATTCCATAAAAATGGTGTTCTAGGTTTTTTGTTTGTTTGTTATTTTGTATTTCTGTGTATATTTTATGGCATTTGTTCACTTTCCACAGTAAAATCAAAATAACAGCTCACAGTTCAGTGAGTTTAAGCAGTAAGTTGTGAAATAAAAGGTCTGATGAGTAATCACTAGTACTAATTAGCCATATTTAATAGATTGTTAGGAGATGGTGTCAGAATAAAATTAATCTATCAGGCTATTAGTTGTTGCTAATCTACATATTCTAAAATGAGGGTTGTGACTTTATGGTGGGGGTAAACAACTGTAAATATCAATACCTCAAGAGAAATAACAGCAGTATTGGATGAAGTCTCATTGCTCCTGAAAGACATGTTCCATTTAGAAATAGGCAGCCTCTTATTTCAAATTCCTGGAAAGAAAGCAATTGAATGGCCTGCCTGATTTGAAGATTTTAGCCAGCAGTCACTGTGCAAGGCTGAAGTTATTGATCCCTGAGGTCGGAAGTGCTGTAAACAGTGGTTCAGCTGTGATCTGACAGTTGGATCATCCCTGTGACTGAGTCATTGACTGTGACTCTCCAGCTTAACAGATTAATTCATTGTATTTAAGAACTTGTGGTTTCAGGCAGTATTTGGGAAAGGACGGTTGTGGATCTGAAGATGCTGAAGTGTGTCAGGTGCTGATGTTATTTTCAGTTGGGAAACTGAATAAGGAAAACTTGTTAGAGGTTTTTGGTATCTGCAAGTCCTGATCAATTGACCTGTGATAGAGATTCTCTTAGTTCTGCTTATAGATTTTTCTTCTGGGTTCTGTCTTTGTGGTTGAAGTGCTAACAACATGAAGTTCTTTTTGCATCCTTTTTTTGCAGTGTTATTTCCTGCATGTTATCCCAGAGCCAGCACTCTGTTCAGTGGAGGGAGAGAACCCTGGTCAGGAGGACAGGAGTGTGTTTCAGGGTGGGGTTTTTGTTGCTCTGTTTTTACAGCTTTAATATGAGAATCCTGAGCCAATGCATCTTATTTCTGTGACTGAAACATGAAGTCTGAGAAATTGCAGCTTGCTTCTAAGGAAAGTTAAGATACCAAAACCTAAAAACTAAAGTTCCAGTTCTTCTCCCACACCAAATACTTGGTAGCTGCATGATAAAAAAAGACTAGTAGTTAATGAATTTTTGTTCTCCCCTGTATTACAGTACCAGCAGCATTTGAAGGACTTTCTAAATAATCTGACTCCCTTATGTCATCCTTTATTTTTCAGAGGAAGTGTGCAGAAGAAATGGATGGCTTAGAGGAAAAAATTACATAGTTCTGCTCTTAGACAGCTTTTTTCATAGATAGTATGTGCAGAGAAATTATTTTACAAAATGTGGCTCAGCTGTGCGTACAGAAGGGCAAGATGGAATAGCTGCTGTTGAAGACAACACTGCAGTGTGTCTTCTGCCTTCTAAAGCACTGAGTAAATCTTTAGTTCTGCTGGATATCTCCCAGTCTCATGATGCAATGGTTTTTGTGGTCCTTTTGGACTCTCTTCTGACTGCTCCAGATCCTAGCCCGCTGATGAAAGTGGAGGCATCTGTAAGAGTGTATATAAGTGAGTTCTAATAGTGCATCTGAATCTCTGTTAAATATTCTGTCTTTAGTCACACTTGTTTGGTAGTTGAACTGTAGAATCAAGGCAGTCTTTAAAAATTCTATCAAATCTCCATGATTGTGATATTTGCATGGGTTCTCTTCTTGGTGCTGTCTGCTGGAGAACAGACTTGCAACCACTAGAGCTGAGTTATGATACAAGACCTTACAGGCTCAGTAACTGTTCAGAGTGTGATATTAATGGTGTTAAATTAGCATCATCAGTGATATTAACTGATTCCCTCATTCAGACTGTGACATTTGTTTGGTAAAAGGATGATTAAACATGTGCAAACATCCTGTGTGCAGTAAAAGGTCTTTGGGCCCTGACAAGTGATAAATGAGAAAATTACAGGTTGTAGGAAAATGGCATTCTTTGGGAATCTGTCCTCTGGCAAGACAAAAATGTTCCACACTAAGCAAGGAAGGATTCATCCTCCCTTTTCACATCTGTAAGAATGCTGGAGGCTCTTTTACGTACTTAACACATGTTGGTGTCTCTTCCTTTTTTCTTCTGGAAAATTTTAAGTCTGTCTTATGTTTTTGTTTTTAACAGCTGTAGTTCACTTATCAAGTCCTTTTCCATCAGATGATTGTACCTGGACTTGCACCCTGGACTGGTGCATGCATTAACCATCACTGCAGAGAGGGCCTTTAGGGAAAGGCTTAGTCTGGTTTCAGATGTTCCTTGTGACTTTCTTCCCCTTCCTGTGTGTCACAGTGTAAGGATTTGCAGTGGCACGTTGGAGTGCTCATATTGCTTCTACAGAACATAAAAGCTTCAACAATGTGATGTATTTGCAGTAGTTTATTGCCAAATGCAATTTATAAGTAAATTTTCTACCTTCTGCCCCAATGGTCTAAAGTGTGGCTGAGTACTGTCCTTCAGCCACTGCTGTTTATCTCATTAAAGGTACAGCTGAAGTTGCTGTGCTATCAAATAATAAAACTACATTGTGTATTCATCATGCTTTTATCTTGCAATGTGGCTGCAGCTTGAAAAGAACCAGACAGCTTTGATAGTTACTGCCATTTTCAAAATTACAGAAATAATTTTCAGATACTTAAAAATTTTTTACCAGTCTTTGCAAGAATGGAAAAGTCACAAGCAGTTAAAATAACAGTTATATTAAATTCTAAAAAGAATAAAAATGACTGAAAGGTTTAGCTGGCAGAAATATCTCTCTTACCTTCTTCTAGAAGTGAGATTTGCAAATAGCAACCCTATAGGATTATTAGAGATTTGTATCTATTAAAAAAACCAAACAACCTAAACCCAAACACCTAAACATAGCACAAAACCAGGATTCAGTTTTTTTCAAAATTGAACAGATCCATTCCATTGAGTAGAAGGTCTGATGCCTCTGCTCATTCTGATACCTCTTCAATGTGGATTCTTTTAAACCTTTCTAGGATGTGGTACCCCAGCTATTAAGGCGTGTAATTTGATTTATGCTAAGGTAACTAATAACCAAGCACAATCTAATATGTTTATGGTTATTTGGATGCATCTGAGATATACCACCAGATACCAAACTTTGCAAGTCTGATTCAGAAACAAGTGTTTTAAGCAAGAAAATGTTCTCCAGTGCAACAGGATCTTCAAAGAAGTGAAGGCTTTCATTTTTAAACAAACTTGTGCTGCACTGTGGGAAGGGAGGCGAGGGAATGGGAGTAGAATTTGGCCTGAATTTGGCAAGTTTTATATAGCAAAGCAGCATATATGCCTCATGATATTCTGGTACCAGGAGATAGGAGGAGCACCTTGGCACCAGTAATGTTTAAAAGCTGAACCTGAAATGAAGCACTTCCCTTATTTAAGTCTTTGGCTGTATTTCTAGAGGTTGAGGAATTGGTTTTCATCCCATATTGCTGGGAGCTGTCAAATCCCAGCATTTTTTCCTCTTAAGGAACTGTCCTGAAAACAATAATACAGGAACTCCCTAGGAGGAATCCAGAAGAAAGGAGCAAAATGATCTATGATCTAAAATAATTATTACTCCAGTAAGTGAAAACTGAATTAGTGTCCTGCGATTAGCTGAGAAACCAAACAGAATTCCTTCTTCCTAAGACTTTGAGAAAGCCTGTGATTTCTCCCTGTCCTCTTAGAGTCCTGTATGACTTGTTTCTACTGATCTTGGGCAGAGGGTCCCATAAAATAGGCTTACAGTGTTTCATAGCCTACAGTTTGAACATGCACTGTGTGTTGGTGGGGCTAACGTGGGCTTGTGCATTTCACATTGCATTTCAGAGAACAGGAGCTGAGTAATCAGTGAAGCTGTGAGAAGTTTAACAGGTTAGACAGACAGCAGAGCTCTATGTACCTCCTTTTGCCCATGGAGCAAAAGTGTAGGCTGGTTGAACTCCAGGGATCCCTTCATTTTGGGATCAGCCCTCTGAGGTAAAAAAGTCTAATACTTCCCACATTCTTATTTAAAGAGTGTAGTTACTTGTCTGAACGTTAAGTTTGAAAAGAGATCAATTCCAAGACTTTCTCCATTTATCAGTTACCTGCTTAATCCAAGTTTTGTAAAGAATTCTCTGAATAAGTACTCTTTTGAGTATTGTGGTATTTTTTTAAGGTATTTCTGCTGTGTGTATTAATGGAAGTGCTTCAGTTGTGAAGCACTTACTTTAGGTTTGTGTTTCTCATCACGTTCAGTTGGCCCTGATTTCTCATTCTCAGAGTGTCACTGGCAGGATGAATGTGTTTATACTGTGGATTGTGTTTGATCTGATTCCATGTTCCCGATCCAGGATGGAGCCAAGGCAGCTCTGGTGGCAGAGATGGGTGTGACAGAACCACTTGAGATTAGATTCCACTCCCTGGGTTTATTGCACTTGCTTGTTTTCAAGCTACTAATGACATCAAGGAAAGTAGATTTAAGACTAGCTGGGGCCAAAATCAAGGGAGTGATAGGAGTAGGAGGAACCTGGAAGTGCACCATTGCCTGGCTGTGTCAGGCTTCAAGAGGCACTAATACCATTCCTACTTTTCTGGATGTATAAATATTCGTCTTTAGGCAGGATTTTAAGTTTGATTCCTGTAGTTTTCATTGGTATGATATTAAGGAAAGAGATTTTTATTATCTGAATCAGCACTAAATCATCTTGCCAGACATTAAAGTTTTAATGCTCAGTAAGGTTTCCTCATGCTAGCACTGTAAGTGTTTCTTAATCGCCTGTGTACTGAATTTTGCTGTTCTCCTTTTTGCTCAGGGCAAAGGCTCCGCTCCCAATATCCCATTGATAGTTTTGTTAGTCTTCCATGTGTGCACTCATTGCACCTGCAGTGACGAGGCAGCAGTTGGAGCATTCAGGATGCTCACTGGGAGCCACTGAGGCTTAGGAACCAAGTGTCTGCCTGGTCTCAAAAGCCAGTAGGAGTTATGTGTGCATCTGGAGACTTAAACAATTTACCTGTGACAGGACTGCTGAGTGAGCTGTGAAAGGGCAAGGGGATATCTAATTTGTTAGAACAAGAATCAGTGGCAGTGGCTAGCTGGAGTTTTCCATCATTTTGCCACAGTGATGCTAGAGTTAGTTGTTTTCTTTCATCTGTGGCATTTACTTTTGTTTTCTCTTTCCCACCCCCACGCACCTTGGTCCAAAATCTAGACTGAAAGTAAATCACTGAAATGATACAAAATGAGTTTCTGCTCTGTGTCTGTGATCCTTCTTAAGTTATGGTGTGTATTTCTGTATTCAAATCTTTTGAGGTATACTGAACAAATAGCTGGTCTGGAAGTGTTCAGCAATTTATTAGCCTTGCCAGAATTTTTTCATATTAATACATGATTGTTGGGGAGTTTGAGAATTTATGCTGTTTGTTTGCTGGTTGACCTGCAGAGTTGGACTGCCTCCATGTCTTACTTCTGTTGTGTTGCATTGTGTTTGTCATTGGTTTGGTTTATGTGATTTTTTTTTCAGTTTTGAATTTTGCCTGGAAGTTACTGCAGCAGCCAGTCACTTAACTTGTAGAATTGGACTCTCCTGGAAACAATGAATTAGTAAAGCTGGTGTACAAAAGCAAGGACTTTGCAAAATGGGGAAGAGAGAGCTTCCAGAAGAGCTGAGAGAGGGTGCTCTTAGATCATGTATAACAGGAAACTGGAAACTCTGTATTCAGACCTTAGAAGTCTCAAGTGACTTGCAAAAAGATCATGAAAATGATGCTCTCTCCTAAATATTCTTTGTTTTTTTACGTTAGGTTGCTGTGTACCTGGCAAATGTTCCCAGACTGAGAATGGCATGATGTGGAGGGCACTGCAGTGAAAGTGTTAAATGCCCCTTTCTTTGGTATGTTTTTACTCTTCATTGCATTTATAACGTGAATTATTGCAGACCTGTCTGTGGAATAACGATGGGATACAAGAATACAGGGCTAACTTCATTGCAAGTCATTATAGTCACAGAGCAGAAAAAAAAATCAACTGTTGCACTTTCATCACTTAATGGGTTGTTGGAAATCATTTTGAAGAAGAGATGTCTGATACTTTTCCATTCCTCGAATAACTGATTAGATGTGAAGATAAGTAGTGCAGTGCTATAAATGTAGTGCTCTACCACTGAGAGCATTTCACCTGGTAAGTTTACCTGCAAAAAAATCTGCCTGGTTCTTCTCAAGGCTTTAAAACTTGCATTTCTGCGGTGGTTCTGAGGATCTCTAGGGGGTCTGAGTTCCAGGTAACTTCAGAACTTCTCATACCGTTTGCACTGATTTGCAGATACATGCCTTGTTAATGAGGAGGTATGAATCCATTGTGCAGCTTGGGAAGAGTGCTGCTGTGGGGATTGTCTTACAGTCAGTCACCTTTCACTGTGATCACTGGATCGCATTTTGGATGCCTAAATACCTTCTCCTTAGTGCTAATAAATTCTTTAATGCAGAAAACTCTAAATCCCTTAATTAACAGAAAAGCTTAGTATATACTTAAAGGCCCTGTTGAGTTTCAGGCTGCTGCTTTTATGGATGCAGAACTGTTGCCAGGAAGATTCCAGTTCAGCTGGATACAAATCTTGCAACTTGTAAGGCACGGGATGAAATGGAGCTTCAATGCAGGGACACCTGGAGGATGAGCTTGAGTGCCCTCTTTGGAAAGAGTTATTTGACTGTGCTTTCAGGGAAATCTCAGCTATTTAGAATCCAGCATAATGCCAGTTTTCTCAGTTTCATCCCTGAGCAGGAGGTTTAAAATTGAGGTTTTAAACCTCATGCTGAACAACAAGGCGTTTTCCTCCTCTCCCTGTCACTGATAACTTTCACTTGGATTTGTTAGGGTGGGTCGAGAGCCAGCAGCAAAGCTGAACTGAATTAGGAGTGACACATGTCTGATTCCTGGACTTGCTATTCCTCAAATACTTCTAAAATAATTACCTCTAGGCCAAATGCTTGGCTATTTTCAGTCCCCTACCATTCTTATTTTGCTTTAAGGTAAGAAATAAAAGAGTCCCCTTGCATAGAAAAGTCTCCAGAAAAGATCTAATGCAACATTTCCCACGTTGGACTCTGCTGCCTCAGATCTCGTTTCCTCTTGCCACAGATGTGATGGAGTATCTTGGGGAAGGGGCAGAAATACTGTGTGTTTGGGTGAGGCTCTCTGCTGAAAAGTGCAGCTGATGGGAAGGAGGATTTCAACACCACCTTCAATTGTGATGTGTCCCCCTGCTATTTGCCTGCTCTTCTCTGTCCCCCCTGTCACTGGGATACTGTTGGAAATCTGTGGACATGGGTACTCCAGATTCTGCAGAGTCTCTGCACTCTTGGAATTAGCTTTTATACAGCAGGTTAATGTGTTTTTGTGCTCTTAATAAATACATTTGGAAATCCTTGCTTAAATTTTTGAGGGGGAGTTGAAATAGCTGTGAATTGATTTCACTGGAAGTGCAGAGTTCTACAAATTGCACTGATTAGGTGTCCAAAGGAAATGTCAGGATTAAGGCCCCTTCAGATTAGTATCTTTTTTATTTTCTTCTCTCCAACCAACTGGTCTGCCAAAATCTTCAATGTTTATGAAGACTTTTGAAGATAACCAGATGAAAGCTATAATTTACATAGAGTTCTGAAAGAAACAAAACACTGTGGGGATGCTGACTTGAACCTGATTTAGTTTTACATTTTTCTTCAGATAATTAAAGATAAAATAAGTATTTTCTGTCGTTGTAACAAAACAGAAAACAATTTTTTGGTGTGTAATTCAGTGTTGCATTTGATAACTGTTGACCCTGGGTTTATACTACAGGAATTTTTTTGCCTGTGAGTGAGCAGTCGGGCGGAAGCCAAGCTGAAGCAACTGCTCTGATGAATGACATCTCAAAACAGAAAGAATGTTTCCTAATAACTTAAGGCATTGCCTGTAGAAAGGGAAAACAGGATTTGCAGGCTATTAATAATCTTAATTTCTGAAAGGTGGTGTGTGGGGGGTGGTGCATGTGTGTGTGTGTTACAAAATTAAAGTTATTTAGAGAACCCAGAGAGAAAAAAAGGGGCAAACCTAAAACTTTGAAGGCTTCTGATGTTTTCTGTGACTGCTGTGGTGGATAAACTAGGTTACTCTCTTGCTTTATTACGTGTGAAGAACTTTAATGGGGACTGCCTGTATAGTAAGGAAATTTTATATCAACTAGCAGAGCAAGGTTGTTGGTGCTGAGCACCTAACATCCATTGGAAACTACTATTGTAAAGTGCTGTTGGTTTAAAACAAACCTAAACCAAGGTCACGATTTTCCAGCGTGCTGATTTCTTTATAGACATGTGTTTGTAGCAGTATAAATTTAAATATCTTATGGACACTGGTGTCTAGCACATATGTCACAAGTCCTGAGGAATGCAGTGTAGTCATGTGGTGTAGTATTAAATGAATTTTTTTCAGTTATGCTTTTGAATTATATAAAAAAAAAAATGCCAAACCCAAAGCTGAAATAGAATTTGAGAGCATCATAGGTAAAGACACTTAAATGGCTTTCAAACATCTGGCCTCTGTTTTTAAAAAAATCTACTCTGTGGATTTATCTTGTTGACTTAGTTCATTTGACTCTTGATCACATTTTTATTTTAATTTTTTTCTGATGTGATAGTCTCAGAATTACCTAAACCATTTGCAGATTAGGATTTTAAAACACTGAACCACAATATGCTGGTTTCTACACTCTTACTCCTATTCTTTCCTTATATGCTATGAGAAAATGATCTTTCTAGTTTTGATTTATTTTGCACAACATGAACTCGGCTTGTTAAGTCCAAGTCAATTATAATGAAATGTTTGAGCATATGTCAGCTTCCCAGAAAATTGTATTGTGTAATCCTGCACTTCACTATTCTGACAAGCTGAAGAAATGTTTCCAGTAGAGGAATCAGAAGAAATGAATCATCATCTGTGGGGAGATGAAGGGGAAAAAAAAAAGGCAAAAATCATGCCCTTTATGAATTAAACCTAATTTACTTTTGAGTGAACTCAGGCTACCTCTAGAAAGGTTATAACCTAGAATAGCCCCTGATACTGCAAAACAGTGCTCGAGTTGTTTGTTGTGTTCACCCTCTGTACTTGGCTGACACACAAGGGAAGATCATCAGCTGTGGAAGGAACTTCCTTTATCCACTGATCCCAGATTCTGCTGCTGCTCTTACAGTGGCCTCAGGAAGGGTATCTGTCAGCTGTCTCTTAGTTTGGTGTATCTTTAGTGCAGCATTGTGTTCTGAAGGAAGTAGTCCAAGTTTAGTAGTCCCATTATATAACCTCTTGTTGAAGAAAAAACAGTGAACCCTGTTCTGTATTACCCTCTCCCCTTTGTAAACTTGTGTTCTGTGGAAACCTCTGATAGAGAAGTTACTGCACTTAAAGTGGAAACCTCTGCAGATGTCAGCTCTTCTTTGTGGTACAAGCCTTAGAGTTCCAAGTTGAAGCTATTTAGTGCAGATAGGAACTTGTCATTTTATTTGGGTTTGATCACCATATTTACCTTTACTTCTTTAGAAAACCTTGTGGGGCAATATCAAAGTAGTTTGTCTCTTTAAATGATAGTAAAAGAAGGTAGCTAGGAAAGTGGCTACTGCAGCATGCAGTGTTCACACTGATGGACTTGGGAACATCATCCATTTCTGCCTTGCTAAATAGGGCAAGGATGTTGCACAGCTGTTTCAAGACCTTCTATTTTGGGGTGGTTTTGTAAGCAGTTCTATGCTGCATAAGGTGGTGAAAACGTATTTTGAACAATGGGAGTACCTCAGTTTGTTTCAGCAGAAATTAGAAAGTAACTTGTCATTTATTTTATTGGTCTGCTTAAAAAAATCTGTTTAAGAATCTCAGAAGTAAAAATAGCACTGGGACGCTGCAGATAAATAACATGCTGGTCTAGTCCATTATTTTCATTTGCACACCAAGGCAGTCACAAAATCTGTCAAGCCCAGTGTTTTATCTCTTGTTGCAGCTGATAAAAGGCCCCTGAGGATGTCAGAAGAACACAGATGCAGAGAGGTGTGATACTGAGAAGTTCCTATAGCTCAGCAAGTTCTGCAAGTTATACTGGGCTTACAGTTAATAATCCTTGATGGATTTTCTTTGCCTCTAAATGTATCTTTTCATTAAAGTGAACCTGTTTTCTGGTTTAGCAATTTTTGACCACTTGTGTTTGGATTGTGCTAGATTCTTTCATAACTGAAGTTTTCTTCTGGGTGGTAATTTGTAGTTTTGAGCCCTTTGATGATATGGATCAGTAAGGTGGTGTGAAGAGACAGGAACTAACTTCAGGATAGGTGCATAAGTGTGATTAGAGTGAGATTGCTTAGGAGAAAAAGAGAGGAAATTGTTTGTTAGACAAATGGCAGGTTGAAAGATAACAGTTCCGATGAAAGGAAAAACTCCATGATTCTCTGTGACTTAGGGTTTTTTTTTTTAAAGTAAGACTTGTTAATTTAAAACTGTATTCCAAGTCCCAGGCAAACTTTGTGTTCAGAAGAAGCAACAATTCAAATTGGTTATCTGATGACCTATGAATGTGTTTGGTATATTGTGAAGGTTATTGTGTTCAAGCTGGAATGTGGTAAGGATTATTTTGACTCTTAGTAGGCAAAGAGCTGAGACTGTTAATAAACTAATTGCCCAGAAAGCCTTTTGCAGGTTGATTTACTACTGTATTATAAAAAGGTGTCTCAGCAATGTAATACCGTTTAGCTGGCTATAAATATGAGATATTGTTGGACATTACACATCATCTTCTGGAGGAGGGGGAAAAACAAACTCCAAACAACACTAAAGCAAGGACACTAAAGCATATGGTGTGGAAACCAGATTGTATTGGTC